TAAAGGGAAAATGAGGAATTTCGTGCCAGGTACTGATTTCTGAAGGCCTCTGAAACGCTGTACTCCTTACTCTTGTCTAGGGATGCGAAGGCTACTATTGATACCTGGTGTTCAGTTGATCCTTGCACTGAATTTGGCCAGAGTTCAGAAGTGATTGTTCCTCTTGCCCTGGAAACACAGTGCTGAATTTGGCCAGAATTCAGAGGTGATTGTTCCTCTTGCCCTGGAAACACAGTGGCATCTTTAAAACTTATGCTTTTAGGGTGGCAGTTAACTTGTTAGTCTCGATAAGGGCAAGTGTTAAACTATGCTGAGCTGGCATTCATCAGATGGCAGTTTAGCTATGGAAAATGAAGATAATTCTGCATGAGTCTCTTCGATATGTCTAATCTACTTTAAATTGTTCTTGGCATTACTGATCCCGGAAAAGGTGGTCTCAAAATAGAGGAGTTTCAGCTTTCAACAGTCATGGGATAGGGGAATGCACGCTGTACAAGTGTCTGTTAGCTGTTTTGCAGTCTCGGCTTGTAGTTCTAAGGGAAACACCGTGGTGTTTCTGTATGAACTGTTCTCAGTAGTGCAGCCGTTTCTTGCAACATTTTAGACCTTCCCAAATCTCAATTAAATTTAGCTTTGCAGACCCTGTTGACAACTGATCTTTTTGCTTTCACAGATGTTTTTTGGCTGTTTGAAGACTAGAGAGAAGTTATTTTGAGGGAGAAACTATGCTGAAGGAAATCATATTCAGCTTCAGTCTCAAAATTATTACCAGCTTGCAATCTGAACCCCTGCTTTGTCTTAACCCTTGCAAGCACTCGGAATCCACTCCTGCCCAAGTAAATCTCTGTGAAAGATATCAAAAGTTTCACATCCCTGTCTGGAAGAGTTGATGTTCCCACTGTGGTTACAGTCAAAACTGTCAGAGGCTGATTGTTGAACGTGGCCTTCCATGTCTAGCAGGAAGAAGGTTTGAAGAGGTCATTGTTTTCTTTTCAAGACAGATGTGACATGTTGGTTCCCTGCTGTAGTGAAAGAGTTTCTAATCTACTTGTCATTGTATGTCTTTGGTAAAGTATTTGCATGTCATCTCATTCAAAGGACCCAGGTGTTCTTGAATACAAAGTTTTATTTCAAATGTTGGCCTTGGTAAGGAATCTGTCCAAGTGTGTAGAGGTTATAGTCCTCTAACTTGCAGACACCCACAAGAGCATTTGAAAAAAAAAAAAAAATACAAGACAGCTTTTGTTTTGTTACATCCCATGGGTTATACAGTGCTGGAGTGCCCTTGTGGACTTCAGTTGAATTGTTTCTGTCGGGCAGAAACTTCTGCTAAGTTAACTAGTCAGGTGAGGTACAAGGGCTCGTCAGAGTGGTCATGCAGTTTGACTAGGTGATCTGATAGAGGGCCTCATGCTTGGAATAGTGTTCAAAAATGGTGTCAGAGTTGTCTTGTGATAAAGTCGGTATGTTTCATGGAGAGGAAAAGCTGTCATCATTTCCTGTGCAGTACAGGTGCAAACTTTGTACTGACTTTGTTTACTGTCCTAACTACAGCCTCTGTGACCTCCTTTGGTCACGTTAGACATTTTTTCAATATGTGTAATCCAGGCCGTAGTATGCCTATTATATGTGTTCAGGGGTTTGTGTGTTCCAAATTTTCGATTACCAGTGAAGCTTTCATCCTGATGCTTGAACTTGCTCAGCCTTTTTCTATGGATGTGTCCAGTAGCCACAGGTCTTGCGTTGTGTTCTTGTAGATTAACAAATACTGAGAATAGAAGTAATCTTCACTTGGCGGTCCAGTTAAAATCTACTGGAGTAGAGTTGGTTTACTGAGAAAGTTGCATCAGTGATTTGATCAAGCATAACTTCAAATAAATGATTCCTTAAACTTGAGAAAGTCAGTGTTTCATTTTCATTCATGTCATCGTTGTACACTGAGTAGTTTTGCAGGTGAACGTGTCCGGTAACTAGTTTAGCAGAGAATATGCCCAATACCTGTGGGTAAAAGCTTACATAGTGTTCGTGATTCCCGTTTCACTATAACATGAGGGAAGTACACCATGAAGAGGCTGCAGGCACTTTGCATTTATGCTGGGCACTGCATTCCTTCTTTGCTCTGTGTCATGTTAATTTATATTGGAAAAGTTCCATTGACTTCTCGTTTAGTTACAGTATATTTGGTCTCCAGATGTTGCTGGCATCTGGTTTGTTGTTTTCATTGGCAAATGCCTTGTAGCAAGTGTTACATTGGGAATGCTTATAACATGGGTACTCATTTTATAAGCAAGCCCCTCTCCATTTATTTCTGGATGTATTTGATGACAGTCCTTATTTTCCTTCTCCTTTTCCTCCCCTTCTTTTTTCTTTTTTTTTTTTTCCCTTTTAAACATCATCTTTTGTTCATGCTGCTGCTGGACTGCAGCTCGTCTTTTTCATTCTTGTTAGTTCTCAGGTGCGTGCTGCCGTGTTCAGTTGATGACTGATGACAATCCCTGCAAGACTGCAAATGAGCAGACAGAAAAGGAATGGAAATGATAGCTACTTTTTCTTCTCTGTCTTGTGAGCTCAGAGCTTCTCAGTGAGGAAGGGTCAGCAGCCCCCAAATGCTGCCTCTAATGCTTTCAGATTTTTTTTTTTAAGCACTCTGCTATAAAAACGACTAAAGTAATGGTAAGCTTTAGCATTATCTCTTCTCTCTGTCATGCAAGGCTGATGGTGAACAGCAATCAGACCTTAAAAAGTGGTGATGTTTGTCATTTTATGAAATTATACTGAGTTTCTGTTCCTCTTTCTCGCTTATTTTGTCACTTTCCTTGCTTTGCATAGGTTGCTCCACTTCTGCTTCAAATTAGCTGAACCTTCAGGGTCGAGCATTAAGTGTTGCAACCCTTGGGCAAAATCATAGCTATGCAAACGCCTCCCCTCAAGTGCACCAGCTAAGGAACTTGGGAAGACTGGGAAAGGAAATAGTAGAACAAGAAAGGGAAAGTTAGGTAAGGAAGAATTGTTTCTGAGAAGGGTGTATGGGAGTCCAGAAGTGCAGGTTGTAAAAATAGTGACAGAAATGTGCTTAATATTTTCTTTTTTCCTGTAATATTCAGATTTGTAATAACAAACCCTGATCAAAAAGAGTTATCTTGTATAAGAATCTGTACAGCCAGAGCTAGCAGTTATTTTTGGCCATCAGTCGTAGTGGAGAGAACGCTGACTCACAGTTTACCAGGGTGCAACAGTCTGTATTTTCCTTGCTTTTCTTCATACTTGCTGTATGAATGTGTTGTCTTTCTGTGGTTTTCTTATTTCAAAAACCAGAAACTGTTCCTGTTCTCTGTGTGAGAGACATTTTTACTTGTCTCAGCAAAACCGGTATCATGATACATTAAAAATGATGTTCGGCTGAAATGGAATGCAGTAAGTTGCCAAGCAGTGTTAAAGAAAACACCCCGATAAAGCAAACACGTATATTTTACGTGAGTTCCCATGTAACGTACTTAGCATGTAGTTCTAGGAAATAAATTATATCATTTAGATATACTGGTGGTTCCTTCTGATGTCATTTTCTGCTGATTTTCATATTCAGTTTTAGGAATTAGGAAATGCACTTTTGACTTCTCTGTGTTGAGCAAATGGATTTCCACACCCCCCACCCCATATATCATCGGGGTATAATAGAGCATAAGTACAAATGTCTGTCTTGTGTTCACATTAACCCAAAGTCAAACAAGCTACGTAATGCCCTGGGTTGAAAGTCCCTCTGGGCTCTGTCAGGTCACTTCCCCTAGCAGATGGGTTCTGTCCGTTTTTCTGAATCTAGGAAACCGTTTCCTCCTCTTTTCTTGCATGCTCCAGGAGACTGAAGAAGCAACCGTCAGCCAGCAGAGCTGGCGTGAGGCTGACCTGTAGGAACTACTCCATCTGGCCTGTAGGAACTACTCCATCTGGCCTGTTGTACAGTCCGCTGTCATGAAGCGGAGTCCCTTCTACATTAGGCACTTGCAGAGTTGGATTAAATCTGGACTGCAGCAAGCAGCGATCTCGTAGGCAGACCAGTTGACTGCTGTCGTACTAAGGCAGTTAAATGGTAAACTTTCCAAAGGAATAGTTTTTGTTTCATGAGAGATCTTTTTTCTGTCACTGGAAGGTGTGTCAAATGGGCTGTTGAAAGTGTCTCATCATTGCTTGAGGGGGTAGAAGCGCTCATTTGGGGGTTTGGTGAGGTGGAATTCTTTGTTTTACTGATTTAAAATAAAGATAAAAATATCAATTACCAGATGCATTCACCATCCAAAACTAACCACTGAATGGCACATGCAGATGGTAATCTGTGAAGACAGGTGGTGTCTGACACTTGTGTTTCTGCTTGCAGCTGAGGCAGGGATGGTTTTACAGCAAGGGATGGGGGAGAACATTCAAGTGGTCAGGAGGAATAGGTGCTTGGTCTGGGAAAATAAGAGTGATGGAGAAATTTCTGGGTGATATTTTGGCAAGGAGGGTAACAAGATAGGAAAGAGGAGGAAAACAACCCTAAAAAACCAGAGGAGTATACTTCTGTCTTTCTATCTGTCAGACTATCTAGTATGTGTTCTCCTTTCCACACCAGTGAATCCAGTCTCATCACTGTGAAAATGTGATTGCCCTATAAATAAAACTTTTTATTTTTAAATGTAAGCCTTGCATGAAGTTATTAATCTCTTGTAAATGCTTGTGGCAGCTTAGCATTAGAGAGAGTACTTTCGGGGATTTTTTTGCATACAAATTAATCTGTCAGGCTGTCACATTTAAGACTCTTGACAATTCACGTTTGAGTGATACCACAAATTATGAAGGCCTGGACTTAGAGCCGAGTTAAATCCAAGTGATTTTTTTGGTTTTGAGAGCAGCATTGTATTCATTTCAGTCCAGTTGTTGTCCAGCCCTGAAAGTTGTTTTGGTGAAGACCTGGAATAACTCTTGACCAATTAAAGCTCAAACCCAAGATTTACAGCCTGCTGAAGCCATTGTATTAGACATGGTCAGGAAAACGTACAGTGGCATCTAAACAACAAAAATACAGGATTGTGGTGGAGGGGAAGACATCGTGTATAATTCCAGGAGTAGTTTGTAAGTTTTCTGCCTGTAGCTACCAGTCAGAACAATTCTTTGACCTGCTTGGCAGTTCCCTAAGAGCTTCTTGTCAGCACTGGCTTTCACATTGTGTGTTTCTTTTTTCTGAGTGTTTCCCAGATGGATGTGCAGACTTTATTTGGCTCTCTTCCAACCCTTCCCTTACCTGCTGCTGCATGTGTGTTGCTTTGTTCTGTCTGCTTCCTTAGTGTTGACATCTTTGAGCTCTCTTTCTGCTTACTTCTCTGTTTCAGCCATTCTTAAGGGTATAAGGTGTACTTTATGAAACTGATCTGAAGTACCTTTCTCCTTTTTTTCTTTTCCTCTTTTCT